TCAAAAGATTTCAAAGTTTCTTTAATTCATTTTGTTATCGTTGATAATCTTAATGTTTTGTGTTGATGATCAACAAAATACGATGGTAGTGAAGAGAAATGTCGGCAGTCAAGTTTGTAGCTGAGACTTAATGTCGGCAGTCAAGTTTGTAGCTGAGACTTAATGTCGGCAGTCAAGTTTGTAGCTGAGACTTAATGTCGGCAGTCAAGTTTGTAGCTGAGACTTAATGTCGGCAGTCTAGTTTTGTAGCTGAGACTTAATGTCGGCAGTCAAGTTTGTAGCTGAGACTTAATGTCGGCAGTCAAGTTTCTAGCTGAGACTCAATGTCGGCAGTCAAGTTTCTAGCTGAGACTTAATGTCGGCAGTCAAGTTTGTACTTAATGTCGGCAGTCAAGTTTGTAGCTGAGACTTAATGTCGACAATCAAGTTTGTAGCTGAGTCTTTATGTCGGCAGTCAAGTTTGTAGTTGAGACTTAATGTCGGCAGTCAAGTTTATTAGCTAAGACTTAATGTCGGCAGTCAAGTTTGTAGCTGAGACTGAATGTCGGCAGTCAAGTTTGTAGCTGAGACTTAATGTCGGCAGTAAAGTTTGTTGCTGAAACTGAATGTCGGCAGTCATGTTTGTATCTAAAAATGTCGGCAGTCAAGTTTGTACCTGAGACTAAATGTCGGCAGTCATGTTTGTAGCTGAGACTTAATGTTGGCAGTCAAGTTTGTAGCTGAGACTTTATGTCGGCAGTCATGTTTGAAGCTGAGACTTAATGTCGGCAGTCAAATTTGTAGCTGAGACTTAATGTCGCCAGTCATGTTTGTAGCTGAGACTTAATGTCGGCAGTCAAGTTTGTAGCTGAGGCATAATGTCAGAAGTCATGTTTGTATCTAAAAATGTCGGCAGTCAAGTTTGTAGCTGCTTTGTTTTTATATATGATTTTGTAAACAAACGGTTTAAAGATCGCATAACAAGTTTTATAAAATGTTTTCCAAACTAAAAAGTCTACCGAATTACCTGATCATGTCAGTGAATCTTAGATTTTAATGACCGCATTTAAAGTGTAGCCGATAAAATTCTGAGATAAATAAACTTGGTTGTCATCTTTAGTATTATTACCGTATCAAAGCTTTTAAAATATCCACACCTTTGATCTGCGGAAAATAAACATAATTCACACAAAATTCTACCAACTGTGTTTTTACAACAGCAAAACACTGCAATGTAAAGAGATCATATAATCCCCTATTGTAACACATTTTACCCCCGTCCTTCATAGCCCTCTACATTTCTTAAGTACAAATAATAATGGCAAGACATTTTTTAATTACAGTTCTCTGCACAGATGTAGATCTATTATCTTTTTAAACCTAACGTTTAATAAACCGGTAGTGATCTCCCCTAAACTTTCTCGAATATTCTTATATAAAACAACAGGGGATGGTAACTGGGGATATAGTTATGATTTTTAATCCATTTTAAATACTGAAACTTTTAAAAATAGAATAGAATCTCAGTAAAAAACAATTGCGCACCAAGCGAACGCCTAATAAAGGTGTGTATAATAGTGCGCAATAGTATTAGTACTTAATAAATTTACATTAGTTTTTTGAGAAATCGGAAGTAGCGTAAATTATTACTTCCGGTCAACGGAAATTACTCAAAATTTAACAGAAGGTAGAGAATTAGATCTTTTACTTACATGTGAAATTTCATTTATCTATCTGAAATAGTACTCAAGTTATAGGCTTTTGAAAAATTCAAAGTAGAAAAAGTACCACTTCCGGTTGTCGGAAATCGCTCAAAAGTTGATACGGATCTACGATTTTGATATAATACTTATATATGAAATTTCATCAACCTAGCTGTAACGGTACTCAAGTTATCGTGTTTACACACGGACACACAGACACACAGACACACAGACACACACAGACATACGGACAAGATTGCAAAATTATGTTTTTCCGTATCAGTGAGGTGTAAAACGTCGAGATTTGTAAAAATCTCGATTTTTTTTTGCACGATTACAATACTTTCTCTATACTACGTATATACGAGAAAGTAAAAAGGTTGATACATTCGAGTTAATTTAGTTATATGCTCTGGATTACTGGGATAAATTATATTATAGTCAACATATGGACTTTCAGGTTAGGTGTCCACCTTGTCATCTACCGCTCAACATGAAGTTCCTTGTCTAAATAATTAAAGATATTAAACAAGTTACTATTTCCATTAACTTTTTATCAATTACTTTACATAAAATAGTATTGGTCAATAAAGGGCCCGTTTGTTTAAATAGGATTGTCATGAGTAAGTTGTGGGTTAAACTGACTGCGTGGTCTGGTCGCTAACTCCAAACGTCCCGAGTTCGAACCTCCGGGTTGATGATGCACGTTAGATAGAGACAACCATCTCAAGTGGGAGAGACGACTCCAAAATCTAACAACTGCCTTGTATTGTAGTAGATGGATCTTGGGTGGATAAAGGCTATGGAAGCAATTCCAAAAAGACAAGTAGGCTTAAAATCGGCGTAGTCGGGCTATATGGGTATAATATTTTGACATGTAATAATGATGATTTTTTTTTTGGAATTCCTCCAATATTGCAATAATTAAGAACGAAAAAGAAAGCTGAAATGTGTTTTAATCAAAATTGTGGTCAAAGGGAATTAATCAATAAAATAAAAACCTCAAGAAGCTTTTTGCAGTTGCTGCCCTTATTTTAAAGCTTTTAATAATAGTATATTGTTACTCGTATATCTCTACTGTGGGCTAGTTTGGTTTACAGGGTGTAGTGACGCCTTAATACTAAATGAAACACGGTTTAGTGTCCTGTTTACTTTTATCTTTCTAATGCCGCAGTTAATGAATATATGTATTGTAACCTATTTCACTTCCAAAAATTAAAATATCTTTGTTTCATACAAACAAAAAATTATGGTGATACATTTTTTTAAAATATTTTTTTTAGGTTAGATGAGGCAGAATTAAAGTATATGTATGCCCCTGATATACATACTTACATTTAGTAATATAATGGGTTACTAAACCTCATCGACCTACTAATATTTATTAGAGTAAACAACACATTATACGCCATATAAAAAATTGAAATTAGGAATGCTAAAAACATACATACGGCCAACTTACACGTAAAGGGCACATGAAGTTGTAAAAGAGCTGATGTTTATACTCACCAACTTATAATAGTTTTAAGCTAGAACAATAACAAGCTGCACCAAATATTATCCGCTGCAGGGTTTCTTCCAGGCATCTCTTTGCGGGGGCGGAACTCCCCGAAGAAAGTCTACCGCCCCCCCCCCCCCCCCGAACGAGATGGAATTTATATATCGAGATATCGAGCATATTCTTTTACTAGTGTCCGCCCCCCCCCCCCCCCGGCGAAAAATGTTGCCCCCCCCCCCCCGAAATATCTATTGCCCCCCCCCCCCCCCCGAAGAAAAGTCTGGAAGAAACACTGATCCCCTTAAGTGCAGGTAAACTTTAGTGCTGAGTACAATGACACCATGCAGATTGAATATCAATGTTTAGAGACGATCATTTTATGGATGTGTTTCAGCGCGTTCGCTATGTAGACTATTTACGTGTTTAACATTCAGAAAAAATTTGAATGCAAAATTAAAGTAAGTGCTATATGACTAGTTTATTTATTTAATTTTTTTTTTTAACTTTGAACCTATTTTTAGCTTCTGTGTTTTAATATTTGTACCTTTACTTACATATTATTTTAGTTAAGTATAATTTTGAGTGGAGTTTTATTTTAATTTTTAAAGGATTACTTTTAAACGAAAAAATATTTCAAAATATTTCAAAACAAATTACTACATTTAAGCGCTGATAATCTTTTTATTTACGTGTCAAAAATCACACTATACATTCATATCTTTTACATAGAACATAACTAATTTGTTTTTCGTCAATTTTTTATTAAACGAATCAGTAAAAGTTATTACATTGGCTTTACCCACCCAACCCAAGTCATTAATTATGTGACCCTGAAAACACCAAGTAACGTCTAGGTCCAGGGGCGTAGCGAGTGGGGGGGGGGGGCGGGGAGTGCGGATCGCACCGGGTGACACCATTTACGGGGGGGGGAGGTGACACCAAGGCAAAAAATAGCAAAATATATAGAGAAAAACGTGAGGGGGGTGCAAATTGAAAACTTGAAAGTTTATTCCCGGGAAGGGTCCCAACGCCTCTGGGGGGGGGGGGGGTGACACCATTAAGTGCCGCACCGGGTGACACCCGACCTCGCTACGCCACTGTGTGTGTCCACACGTCAGGGCGAATCAAGTGCTGAGATATCTGGTCACTAGCGGTTACTGGAAAATATTTGTCTACGTGGTAACGGTATGTTTACGCTAGAAAAATCACAAGCCGCTCCAAACTTTGTCGACACGTGTACATGTACTCTTTAGTGACATCTTACCAGTATAGCTAATATTATTGCAGTTCCCAAATCTATTAAGATACCTAGAGATGCTAAATCTGTCCTGCAAGCCCTAAAAAATCCAGTGCTATACTGAATTACTTTGGACAGCACTAGAAAGGCTAAAAAATTCCAGCAGCAAGATTGTGCTGCAGTGGATCCCGGGCCACTGCCAGATACAGGGTAATGAGATTGCGGACCAGCTGGCAAAAAAAATAGGGGAAAGAAAAAACAACCAGAAATCTCGCTACATCTAAAAGAAATCAAAAGAATAATAAAAAACAAGCAAACACAAATGTGGTCTGACACACACCCTCACTATAAAAAAATGATGGATATTACAATTTGACACGAAATCAACAACACATAATTTTTCGACTTAGAACAGGCCACAACAGACTAAATTAGCAAATGCATAAAAAACTAAAAATTGGGTGTGGCGAAATATGCCCTTGTGGCAAGGCCCCGGAGAATACCGAGTACGTCCTTCAAGATTGTTCTCATTATAGCCAGGCGCGAGCCCAACACTGGCCCCTACTCACCCCACTCAAGGAAA